GTAGAAGAAAGGAAATAGTAAAGATCAGAGCAGAAATAAATGATATAGAGACCAAAAACAATTCAAAGAATCAATAAAACATAGAGCTGATTTTTCGAAAAGATAAACAAGATTGATGGACACTTAGCTAGATTCACCAGGAAACAAAGAGAGAGAACCCAAATACACAGAATCAGAAATGAAAGACGAGAGACAACAACTGATACCACAGAAATACAAAAGATAGTGAACAATTATATCGCAACAAATTTGACAATCTAAGCAAAATGGACAAATTTCTAGAAACACATAGTCTCCCAAAACTAGATCAGGAAGAGATAGAAAACTTGAACAGACCAATAACAGCAGAAGAAATTGAAGATGCAATCAAGACTCTCCCAGCAAATAAAAACCCAGGCCCGGATAGCTTCACGGGGGAGTTTTACCAAACATTCAAAGAAGAACTAATACCCGTTCTCCTCAAACTATTTCAAAAAATTCAAGAAGAAGGAAGACTTCCAACTTGTTTTATGAAGCCAGCATAATTCTAATTCCAAAACCAGAAAAAGACACAACAAAGAAAGAAAACTACAGGCCAATATCCCTGATGAACATAGATGCCAAAATCCTGAACAAAATATTAGCAAATCGGATCCAGCAATACACCAAAAAAATTATCCACCATGACCAAGTGGGATTCATCCCAGGGATGCAAGGCTGGTACAATACTCATAAATCCGTAAATGTGATACACCACATAAATAAAATGAAGAATAAAAACCACATCATAATATCAATAAATGCTGAAAAAGCCTTCGACAAAATCCAGCATCCATTTCTGATAAAAATGCTCAGCAGTGTGGGAATAGAAGGATCATATCTAGACATAATAAAGGCCATATATGAAAGACCTACAGCCAACATCATACTCAATGGGCAATAACTAAAAGCATTTCCCTTAAGAACAGGAACAAGACAAGAATGCCCACTTTCGACACTCCTATTTAACATAGTACTGGAAGTCTTAGCCACAGCAATCAGACAGGAACAAAAAATAAAAGGGATCCAAATTGAAAAGGAGGAAGTGAAATTGTCATTATTTGCAGATGACATGATACTATACATAGAAAACCCCAAAGACTCCATCAAAAGATTACTAGACTTAATAAATGAATTTGGCAAAGTAGCAGGATACAAAATTAATGTCAAGAAATCGATGGCATTCTTATACACCAATGATGAACTCACAGAAAGAGAAACTAAGCAAAAAATTCCATTTACCATTGTGACAAAAAAAATTAAGATACCTAGGAATAAACTTAACCAAAGAAATAAAGGACCTATTTGCAGAAAACTACAGGTCATTGAAAAAAGCAATAGAGCAAGATATAAAAAAGTGGAAGCACATACCCTGTTTATAGATTGGGAGAATTAACATCATTAAAATGTCCATATTACCCAAAGCAATCTATAGATTCAACGCAATCCCCATCAAAATACCAACGGCATACTTCACAGAATTAGAACAATTATTTCAAAAGTTCATATGGAACCAAAAAAGGCCTCGAATAGCCACAGCAATCTTGAAAAGGAAGAAAAAAGTTGGAGGGACCACAATACCAGATTTCAGGTTATACTACAAAGCCACTGTAATCAAAACAGCCTGGTACTGGCACAAGAACAGGCATATAGACCAGTGGAACAGAACAGAGAACCCAGAAATGGACCCAAGGCAATATGCTCAATTAATATTTGAAAAAGGTGGCAAGAGCATACAGTGGAGTAAGGACAGCCTCTTTAATAAATGGTGCTGGGAAAATTGGACAGCTACTTGCAGAAAAATGAAACTAGACCATCAACTTACACCCTACACGAGAATAAACTCAAAATGGATAAAAGACTTAAATGTAACTCATGAATCCATAAAAATCCTAGAAGAGACTGTAGGCAACAAAATTTCAGACATCATACACAGCAGAATTTTTACTGACACCTCACCTAAGGAAATAGAAACAAAGGAGAAAATGAACACATGGGACTACATCAAACTCAAAAGCTTCTGCACAGCGAAAGATACAATCATCAAAACGGAAAGGCTACCCACTGTATGGGAGAGCATAATTGCCAATGATATATCAGATAAGGGGTTAATTTCCAATACATATAGAGTGCTCATACAACTCCACAAAAGGAAGACAAAGAATCCAATTAAAAAATGGGCAGAGGAACTAAATAGACACCTCTCCAAACAGGACATACAAATGGCTAAGAAACATATGAAGAAATGCTCAGCATCACTAATTATCAGAAAGATGCAAATTAAAACAACAGTGAGGTATCACCTCACACCTGTCAGAATGGCCGCCATCAACAAATCATCAAACAACAAGTGTTGGCGAGGGTGTGGAGAAAAGGGGACTCTAGTACACTGCTGGTGGGAATGCAGTCTGGTGCAGCCACTATGAAAAACAATATGGTGTTACCTCAAAAAATTAAAAATTGAACTTCCATTTGACCCAGTGATCCCACTTCTAGGAATATACCCTAAGAAGCCTAAAACACCAATCAGAAAGAGTATATGTACCCCCATGTTTGTAGCAGCACTATTTACAATAGCTAAGATCTGGAAACACCACAAGTGTCCATCAGTAGACGAATGGATAAAAAAGCAGTGGTACATATACACAATGGAGTACTATGCAGCTGTAAGAAAGAAAGACCTCTTATTCTTCGAGTCTACATGGAGGGACCTGGAAAGTATCATCCTAAGTGAAGCAAGCCAAACAGAGAAAGACAAGTTTCATATGATCTCACTTATTTGTGGAATATAATGAACATAACTGTCTGAGGAAGGGGGAAGTCCCAGAGACGCGGAAGTGGGATACAGACTGACAATCCCCTAAATAGGGGGGTGGGGTGGGGAAGAGATAAACCAAAGAACTTATATGCATGTATGCATGAACAGTGGACATGGACAACAAACTGGGGAAAGGGCAGGGAGGGAGGGGAAGGGGGGAATCAGTGGGGGTAAAAGGAGAAACATCTGTAACAAAAATTAATTAATAAAAAAATAATAATAAAAAAAGAAAAAAGAAAAAACAAAACCAACAAGTGTTGGCGAGGGTGTGGGGAAAAGGGGACTCTAGTACACTGCTGGTGGGAATGCAGACTGGTGCAGCCACTATGGAAAACTCTATGGTGTTTCCTCAAAAAATTAAAAATTGAACTTCCATTTGACCCAGTGATCCCACTTCTAGGAATATACCCTAAGATACCTGAAATACCAATCAGAAAGAATGTATGTACCCCCATGTTCATAGCAGCACTATTTACAATAGCTAAGGTCTGGAAACAGCCTAAGTGTCCATCAGTAGACGTATGGATAAAAAAGTAGTGGTACATATACACAATGGAGTACTATGCAGCTGTAAGAAAGAAAGATCTTTTATCCTTTTAGACGACATGTAGGGACCTGAAGAGTATTATCCTAAGCAAAAGAAGCCAAGCAGAGAAAGACAAATATCACATGATTTCACTTATTTGTGGAATATAATGGACATAACTGTCTGAGGAACAGGGTAGACCCAGAGACATGGAATTAGGGTACTGACTGACAACCCTCAGAAGAAGGCATGGTGGGGAGGGAAGAGATAAACCACAGAACTTATATGCATATACACATAAACGATGGACATGGACAACTAACCTGGGGACGGGGTGAGTGGGATGGAGGGTGTCAATGGGGAAAAAAGGAGAAACATTGTAACAAAAATAAATTATATATATATATATATATATATATATATATATATATATATATATATATATACACATCTCCTTTGACACTCTAATATTCTTAGGAATTTGCCCTATAGATATACTCATATATGTACACAAAAATAGATGAACAAGAATCTTGCCTAAATTAGTTTGACATTTTAAAAATCCCAAAATATTCTAAATGTCTATTATTAGGGTAATAGTAATATAAATTATGCTAATCCAAATAATGAAATACTATGCAATGTTTTTAAAGGAGATAGATATTTAGGTGCTGATGTCTAAGATACGGTGTTAAGTGGGAAAAGATTATTTAACACATGCATGTTTCCACTTATATAAATATGTGTTTGTATATGCATTATGTCTGAAAAGATATTCCTGAATATTGTCTCTGAATCAGAGTATAACTGGGGAGGGAATAAAGATCTTCACTTTAAATTTATATATAGTCTTCTTATTTTTTTACTCTTCACAAATAACATGTATTACCCTTATAAAAAAAATCATTGAATAAAATAGTCACTAAACTAAAAAGCAAGTTAAAAAACGACAACAACCAGGTAATAGGGTCGTTGTTCACCACTTGGGGATAACTGTTAAACATATTGAAACTTTCTGAGGTGGGAAAAGGAACCCTACATTATAGTTGGTTTACCATTCTGCACCAGGATAATCCCAACAGCCTTTGCATTGATGCAGTGAGGGCAAAGTAGCTCTTAAAAATTTCATTATATGTTATATGTCATGTTACAAGATTAAAACATGGCCAACTCATAGATAGCAATGAAGTTATTGCTCTCAGAAGAATTAGGAACATTTTCCACCTGCTACTGATGGAGGCAATCTGCTCAGTCTGAGCTGTTTTCCTCGGACAGGGGCATATAAAGAGACCATCTTCACTCTAAGTACATCCCAGCAGGGGATTAATGATTACACTGCTGTTTATTGAGGGTCTACCCTGTGCTGGGTACTCTACATATACACATGATCTGTAGTCCTTACATCAACGCAGCAAAATAGGAATTAATGTCCTCTTTCCTGCATTTGAGGAAAGTCTTGGAGAATGAATTCCTTGCAAAAGCTTGCACAGAGAGTAAGTGTCGAGACAGTTAGGTCTCATTGACGCCAACGCTGCCGCTCTGCCGCCCAGTCTTACAGTAAGAAAGGGTGCCGTGAGCGAGAACATCTTCCAGGATTTGAACAGCCAAGCATTTGTACAGCAAGGTTGAAATTCTTACCTCTTCATCTACCTCTGGAAAACTGTCAACACCAGTGCCTGTTGTTTCAAACTTTCCACATGTGCCACTAACAGATGAGCTGCTGTCACTTATGCTACTTTCTGGGGTGCTCGTGACACTGTCCCTAGCTGGCCGTGACGACACGAAGAGGCCAATGTTATCAAAATCATCATCAAAGGACCTGTTCTCAGCACCTGCCTTGGGTACTTTTGCTGGATTGTAGGGTTTTAGGAAGGAAGAATACACATATCCTTTGATAACTAGATAGGAATAAAAAGAAAGAAGAAACAAGGTCATTTGTATATACTTTCCAAACATTTGTGTATAGAGAAGCACTCAAAGATTCCTGGGAAAATCTCAACCAGAAAAGGGGTGATAGTTCTGTGCATTGTAAGCAAAACACTTACTGCCCGTATCAACAAGCCACCTGCTGGTACTGCCAAATGGGTCTCTCTGTTCCATTACAGCCACCAATTCCCCTTCCAGAAGACTGATGTCATATTCTTGTGTAGCATTGCACTTGCGCTTAGCTTGGTAGAGTTCCTCCATGCTGTATGTGGACAGAAGTTGGGAGCGGTGAGTGTCAGTTTGATGTGGTACTTCTGGCTGAGAGAGGTAAGGAGAAACTTTGGTTTAGACAGATGTATAAAAAAATCATCACTGGGTTAATAGATACCCCTCCCCTGGAAATATTTTAAATGTTGAAGCCATACATGGAGTTGGGATTATTTCAGTGTTGAGGCATAGACTGGGTTATTATTGTGAAGTATCCAGCTGAGTTATACGGTGAAAATAATCTCTACTTAGCACATGAGGGCAGTGTTGTAGAGAAGAAGGAACATTCAATGAAAATAGGAAGGCGGCGGTTCTAATCCCTCTTGTATGTACAATAGATTTTTAGTTTTTTGTCATACTGTAGATATTTCCTTTCATATTAAGCACTTGATAAGTATTGCTTAATTAAGGAAATTGTACATGTCCATGTCTTTTTTGGGAATTAAGATATCAGGAAGCTAGGCAGGAATCAAGAGGCCTGGCCTTGTCCCAGCTAAGTGACTTTGAGAAAGCCACTTTATCTCCATAGTCTGGGATTCCTTATCTAGAATGAAATAAAAAGTTTGAACTATACAATTTTACTCTATCAAATTTTATTCATTTATTCAACAGATACATATAGAGTGTCTACCTTTTATCAGGCATCATTTTAGTTGCTTTGAATAAATATATCATGTACAAAACAGATAAAAAATCTATAAGCTTACAGAGTGCATAGTATAGATGGAAAAAATAGATAAAATTTATGCTTAAATAAGTGTGTAAATTATTGCATATTAGAATGAAATAAGTGATATGGAAAATAATATATTACAATTTAAACAAGGAAAGAAAATGATAGTCATCATTGTCATAAATGTTACCAAACTCACCAGAATTTGCACAGGCTTCTTCTTTTCAAAACTAAGTTTCCTCTCAATAAATGTAGCACTGTTATCCTTTACAAAATTCAGATTTTGAACCTCTTCTAGTACTCTATTCTGCATTTCAGAGATGTTTGAAACCAACAGGGGTACCTATAGGTAGAAATAATATGACATTGTTCGCAGACAACTACTTAGCCATGTTAGGTTCTGAATTTAGTAGAGCTGTGATGAACAGCTGAGAAAGTACAAGACAGCTCCACATTGACAAATTAGGTCAACCATAGAACTCCTAGATAAAAAATGGCCTAATTTTCTCTGTCCACGAATCCCATTAAAATGATAGGGATAATTTTTTTTTTTTTTTAAGTTTCAAGCCTAATAAAAGGAGAACAGAAGAAAAAAATAGCAATAACATTTTGTGAAAAAGGCTCAGGAATTGATGGCAGTAGTCACCCCCAATGTGCTAGGGTAGGATAGTGGGACGTGGAAAGAAACTAAGTGGTTTTAAAACAAACCACCCATTTTTTTTGACATGCTTCCCCCAAGAGATGGAATCCATGTCCCTTCCTTTCAAAACTGGATGGGTCTTTATGATCACCTCAATTAGCTGAATATTGAAATGAAGAGAACAATGGAAGAGATGCTGTCTAACTTTCAAGATGCAGCTAAAAAAAGACCATACAATGTCTGTTGCTTTCTCTTGGGATACTCACTCTTGGGAGTTTTTTGTCACCATGGAAGAACCAGTTGCATTATGCCATTATATCAAAAGATCGTGTTGAAATATCAGAAAGAAGGAAGGAGGGGGCATCAATGGAGCCCCAGCTATTTGGGTCCCCAGCAATTTGACTCGTTCATCGTTGTCCCATCATCTGCCTCAGAGGTGCCTGGGGAAGTCTTTGAGTTGACTTTAGCCCCAGCTGTTATCTGACTTCAACCTCATTAGAAGACATTGAGAATGATGACCTAAGTCCAGTGAACTCCCAGAACCATGAGAGACAATGATAATTAATGACTATTGGTTGTTTCATACCACCACATTTGGTAGACTTTGTTTTGTAGTTATAGACAACTGGAAATATTATGAAGCAGTTGGATCCCCAGATTCTTTCACACTTCAGCGAAGCTGGGTGATTACCTCTTGCCTACCATGGCAGATGATACGGTTTTCTTCTCTGCAAATGGTAAAACAAAGTCTCCAGACAGGGGACACTAGGCACATATTAGAAAGAGGGTAATTAAGTGAGTGGACATACACTGGACCCAAAGACCACACCAAACAGTTCTGGCAGTCAATCATTACCCCTCGAAGCAGAAGACTTGAGAGTCATCTCTGGAGATTCTGAGCAGCCTAACAGGAAAGACCTAAAGCTGATATCATCAGGTGTTCCCAAGTGAAATTATAGTCAGATTACTCTACACATGAGTGAGGTTTAGAGTTTTCAACTCCTGTCTATGTGCTCAAAGCTGCCAATTAGTCCTCTACTATTTATCAGTGGTGAGTGATCAAGTATATCACACATCTATCACATTCCTCTAACATCAAACAGTCCAATAAAAAGCAAATCAACATGTCTTAATTTTAATGTAACAAAGCAAAATAAATAAATAAAATATTTAAAAATTACAATTATGAGAACAAAAATAAAATAAATCAAGACATGGATTTAAAGATTAAGTTAGGATAATTTCTTAGGAAGTAGAGCAAAGTAATAAAGTGATTGAAAATAAGAAAAGATAACAAAATTTGAGGAACAACCCAGTAGGTTCAGAGAGAGAAAAGGAAAGAAAACTCACCAATGAAACATTCAAAGGAAGTTTCTAGAAGTGGATGACATAAAATTTCAGGTTGAAAGAATTTCACCAAGTATCCAATACACCAAGGTACATCATTATTAAATTTCAGACTGATGAGGACAACAGTAACATTTAAAAGCCTTTAGAATGGGAAAAATAGGGCTAGTATATACAAAGATCAAAATGGACCTCAGAGTTCTCAACAGGAACAGTGGAAGCTAGAAGACAATGGAACAATAGAATGCTTTCAAATTTAGAAAGAACAACTTAGAATTTTACACCCATCCAAACTATAAATTAAATGTGATAGTAATATAAAGACATTTTCTGATATTCAAGGTGTCAAAATATTAACCAATTTTTATTCCTCAAGAAGTTACTCAAAAATAAGTTTCACCACATAAAAGCATAAAGCAAGAAAGAAATCAACATGAGATAAGGAAATGTGAGTTTCCACTGATAGAGGGAATTTGAATATTTATAGTGGTATTACTCATAATAGCCCAAAAGTGGAAAGAACCCAAATGGCCAAGTGATAAATAAATAAAATATGGCTTATTCAGGCAATGGAATATTTTTTTTGACACTAAAAATAATTAAGTACAGAAACATAGATGGACCTTGAAAATATTGTGCTCAGTGCGAGAGCCAGTCACACAAAAAACCACATAGTGTGTATTTCTATTTATACTGAATGTCCAGAATAGGCATGTCTGTAGACACAGAAAGGAGCTGGTGATTGCCTAGGGCCGGGGAGGTTAGGGGGAAAGGTGGAGTCACTGCTAATGGTTCAGGGTTTCTTTTGGATGTGATGACAGTGTTCTAAAATTGACTAATCATGGTGATTGATGGTTGCACAACTCCTGTGAATATACAAAAACAAACTGAATCGTATATTTTAAATAGACGGTATTTATCAAGTGTAAATTATATCTCAATAAAGTTTAACCCTCAAAGTGAGGGGCTAGTAATACACTATTGTTCAGCTGTGCAGTAGACTATTATAAGGCAGCTCTCTGTGTATGGACATGGATGTCTCCCCAGGATGTTAAAAAGCAAGTTGCAGAAGGGTGCTATGGTATGCTAGTTTTGAGTAGGGAATAACAATATATATTTGAATGTACTTTTAATGACTCAAAGGAGCCCTAAGTGAATAAAAATGAACCAGTAATCATGGGGATGGAAGCAGGAGACAGGAGTGAGTGTGTGACTGCCTGTTCATTGTTACATAGTTTTGCCTCTTGAACCATGTAAATATAGCACCTGATTATTCAGTATAATTTAATCCAAAGGGTAAGGTAAAAGTTAATTAGATACACAATAAAAAATAAAGTCGGGCAATTAATATTCTTCCTAATGTCCATGGAATACCTAACCCCCTGAATGAGAATTAATGCACTTGAAATGAAAGGCCAAGAAACCAAGCTGATTTTTTAAGTGCTATTTGGTTGTAAATATTTTTCTTCCTCTTCAGAAAATAGTTATAAAACCCTATCCTAAGGAGTGATTTCCAACCTGTGTGCTGTACAAATTTTAAAACATGTACTACCTGATTCCTTTCCCTCAGATTGTCAAATAAAAAAATGACCACATCCAACACAGTAATAGCCATCTGATGTGAATGAATCAAAATTATACCTTATTTTTTTTATCAGACAGACAAAATATATATTTTTCTGTGTGCTGTAGAATTTTAGTAATTAGTTCATGTGTGCCATGAGATGAAAAAGGTTGAAAGTTGCTATCCTAATGGAAGACTAAATGAGATACACGCGCGCGCGCGCGCACACACACACACACCCCACTCCTGCCCCAGGCTTTTCTTCTTTGGAGGAAAACAAAAGCAAAATGAAGACTGGTATGTCCTCTGTCATTACACCGAGATGGCCTCCTTTTTGGATCCATATCTTAGTCGTAGGTAACTCTGAGAAACGATTGAACGGAAAGAGAACGCAAAATATAAATTAGCATCAGGTAGATGGAGGGACACCGGCGTCACCAGTGAGAGTCACCAGTGAGAGGAGCAAAGCTGAAAGTGGGCTGGAGTTTGAAAGGCAACTGCAAGTGTGGAAGTCACAGCAAACCTGAACTAGGAAACCCTCTTTTCGCTTCCTATGGAGAACAGACAGAAGGAGCAGCAAACTGACTGGCTTCTCTGAACGGAAAAACCACACTCGCACACGCACACGCACACGCTCGTGCACACCGTGGGCGGGACTGTTTTGCACGCAGGTGGGTTCTCGTCGATGCCACAGACGGAGGCGGCCAGGGGCGGGTGCGGCGCTTACCGGCACCACCGCGGAATAAAGCTGCTGTGCCACCAGCGTCACGTCCCGGAGGAGGCTGATGAAACTGTCCAGGCTGTTCAGCAGAATCTTCCGCGCGGCCTGGTTGAACACCTGGAGCTCTTCCACCAGCTGGGCATTGAGGGCCTCGTACTCCTTTCTGGCCAAGTCCGACGCATCTCCCGCTGCTCGCTGCAGGTAGCTGTTGTAGTCCAGCAGTTTGTCGTAGCGTTTCTGGATGAGCTTCTGAGGCCCTGGGAACAGGGGCAGCAGGGCCGCCAGCGGTGCCAGGACGCGCTTCTGTAAATGCGCCGCCTGCCAAAAGAGGGCACAGTCCGGTCACAGAGCACCCCGCGCTGTGCTCAGGGGGCTTCCTGCCTCCCTGCAGGAGCCCCAGGGGAGACTGCAGCGCAGCCAAGTTAAGGAGGATGTGATCATTTTTCGTCTAGCTAAACCCGTTCAAGAACTCCAGACAGCGGCTCCAGACTCTAACATTGAACCTGAAGGGTGGGAGGTAGAATATGAAAGTTGAAGCCTGCCCACCCCAACTATGCTCCACGTTTTCTCTACAGCAGCTGGTTTTGCCATTGGGATCAATCATCTCCTTCCACATTTTCCACTTCCTCTTCTTTCTAATCCCAGCCCAGCACGTGGGGGCAGGGGTGATCGCCCGCCTGTGAATGCCAAGAGGGCCTAAAGGCTTCACCATACCGTTTTGCTGGCAATAAAAAGAATAATCAGTCTTAGAGGAGACTGTGTCTTATTCCTCCCACATCTGCCCCAATTTCTTGGCTACTGTGGTAGCTAATTTTGGTAGTGCAATTGTATCCTCCACACAGACAGTACCCCCTTGTTATAGGCATTTTGCTCCTGTGATAGAAATGACCACAGAATTATTGCTTCCTCTTTAAATACACTGAAGGATTACGCCAATGCTGATTCTGTGTCCTAAATTGTTACGTTTTTAGGTCTGACTCATTGAAAATTAACTTCATATTAATGCCCAACTCCATGCCACAGCCTGAGCTGAGCACCCTATATTTAATTTCTTCTATTTCTCTTCCCTCCCCTTCTATTCTGAAGGGCACTTGTATCCTATGTTTGCTGACCACCCAGTGTTACCCTTTATCATACATGCTTGGGTTGTGCAATTGTGTTAAGGCAATCTGGAAACAGGTTTCCTTTTGCACCCCCAAAAGATGTTCTAGGGAATCAGATATGAGCGGCAGCTGCTATTAATGAACTTAAATGGACTCTGGTAACTTTGGCTGAACTCATGGGAAATCTAGGAGAGAGGAGAAATCGATCTTTTATTAGCACTAGCAATAGCCAACCCAGATTAAATTTGATGTCTAATTTACAAAATAATCCATATGCACCTTCAAACTGTTAAATGAGTCCTTTGACTAAGCAAGTAATCTGCTTACTGTTCTGGGATAAATTGTTGTGTTTGTGATGTGACTGGACTATGTAGTTTACAATACTACACTATAATTACAATATATATGTCCTGTGACCCAACAGACATGAACCAATTCACTTGCGCACATGGGAATTATAGTTGGAACATATAAAAATCTGACTTTATTTTAATATTTTGTAGATACAAAATATGTAGATAAGTATCTCTTATGTTTAAATAAAAACAACCTCTGTGCCTTCAGATAGATGCTTGATTTTTAGAGTTCAAGCATGTTATCCATAAAATATTGCTTCTTTGTTGTGTTTTTTGATCATTATTTTAATTTATCCTAATTTATCATCTTGTGGTTTTATGCAAGGTAGGAAAGGACACTTTGTCTTGTCTTTCTGTAAAATTCTGGAACACGTAATGAGGTAGAAGCAATATACCATGTTTTTATATGGTGCTCAATAAATATTTATTGACTTAGTTAATGAATTGGAATTAAACTGAAGAGCAAACCCTTAAGGAGTTTTCTAAGATATGCTCTCTGTAATTAAGCCACAGTTCTTTCCATTTAACATGTCATAAAAACTTCTCTCCCTCCTTCCTCTCTCGTTTGTCTAATCTGTCATCTTAGTTCAGATGTAATCATGACTTTCCATTTTCCTATGCCAGGAAAGCAAGGTGCTTCTCCATGTTTTTCTACTGTTGTGGAGGCTGTACCACTTCCTCAGACCCAGAAGTATGTGGGGCTATTCATTGGATGTCACGACATGAGATGGAGGAACATTACTGAGATTTAGACCCTGGGACGCCAGGAATGCTGAACACCCTTCAACATGAGGGCTACTCAATGAAGATTTGTCTGACCCAAAATGCCAATAATGCCAAAACAAAAATGCCACTTTCTAAGACCTTTTTCTAAGACCTTCAAGATGATGGAGACTGTTATATTTTATATGTAATACTTGAAATACTATTATGAAATAACAATACCTATGGCGCACAAGATACTAAATTAAAATTAGTATTACTCAGACTAGCTTACCACCCAAATATTTTCTTGGCTCAAGTATGTTTTTATGATTTCCAAACTCTGTTTTATGATCCTGTATATTTTGCAGAACTCTTAGAAAACTGTTTAGTGAAGAACAGGAGACATGATATATGACTCTTTTGTAGAAGCCCTTTCTGAAAAGGAAGGCTTTGCTTTCCAGCCTACAGTAGGTTAATAAAAGTCACATCTTCAGAGAGTGTCTTCACAACTCCTTTAGGGCTCTGGGCTTTTCCAGAGACTCCTTTAAGTCTCTGATTCCTTTAAGAAAAGTCACAGCTTTCTAAGTTAATAAATTCTTGCTATATCACATGCAAACTTAAACTAATGCCGATTTTAGTTGCACGGACACTTACTACCACCTTGAAACACAGACTAGGATCCTCTTTGATTTTGATTACAGTGAAATCTTCACTAATGCACTTTAAAATATTTAATAATTTTAAAAAATCTCCTGTTTTAAATCTACTAATTTTGACATCAGTGTTTGCTTTAGTGAATGTTTTACTTCTAGCCCGAAAAAAATAAATGAAAAGCAGCTTTTCTTTTAACCCTACTATTGAATTTGCATTTACCTATGAAGCTAAGTAACTTACAAAGTCATCATAGGGATTAGGGGCATTACTGGGGGCCTCCAAATGGCCCCTGTCTTCCTCATCTTGGGTGCATGCAATCTCCTGGAGCTCCAGCACACTCTGCAGAGCTAAGCGCATGGCATCCTGAAACCCAAGAACAAAGTTACACAGAGGGCAAAGGTCCAGAGTCAATACAATCCTCTATCCCAAAGGGGCCCCCCAGGAGCATAACCCTCCATTCCCACTGAGAAGAAAGAAGAAAAAGGGAGGAAACGAATTCGTGAATACTCTGCACAGTCAGGTTAGTTGCAACCATCGATTTCCTCACTCTCCCCCAAGTCACTTTCTCCTGCTGCACTGCATGACACCCTCTTTTATTGAGTCCATCTTACATTTTCTCAGTCGCTATTCTTCCGCATTCAATTCTTACAGATCCTTTATTTTAAAAATCACTCCTCTTTGATTTATGCCTTCCGTTTTCCTGAGCAAAGTTAATGTTCTTTTTAAAAAGAAGATGGTCACCTTTTTGTTGAATCAATTAGTGGAAATAGAAGACTTTCTTGTAGAGGTTTCCAAGAGGCATTTACTACTTGAAATGTATATCAAAGGCAGGGTTCCCATGCCCTCTAGCTGTTAAAGTAAGTTTTGGCTTCTTTTCACAGAAGGCAGTGCTTTAGGAAGAGATGAACAAACCTAATTGTAAAATCAGGCTTTGTATTAGTCAAGAAATAAGAAAAGAATGTGAGGGATCAATACCAGATATCAAGTTATACTACAAAGCCACTGTAATCAAAGCAACCTGGTCCTGGCACAAGAACAGGCAGATAGATCAATGGAACAGAACCCAGAACCCAGATATATATCCAAGACAGTATGCACAATTAATATTTAATAAAGGAAGCAAGAGCATACAATGGAGAAAAGACAGTCTCTTCAATAAATGGTGTTGGGAAAATTGTACCGCTACATGCAAAAAAATGAAACTAGACCACCAACTTACACCATACACAAGAATAAACTGAAAATGAATAAAAGATGGAAATGTAAGCCATGAAATCACAAAAATCTTAGAAGAAAATGCAGGTAGAAAAATCTCAGACATCATATGTAGCAGAATTTTCACTGATACATTGCCTAGGGCAAGAGAAACAAAGGAAAAAATTAATTCATGGGACTACATCAAACTAAAAAGCTTCTGAAAGGCCAAAGAAACCAGCATCAAAATGAAAAAGGAACCCACTCTCTGGGAGAACATATTTGCCAATGATACATCAGATAAGGGGTTAATATCCAAAATATATGGAGTACTTATATATAGTCAACAAAAGGAAGACAAAAAATCCAATTAAAAAGTGGGCAGAGGACCTGAATAGACACTTCTCCAAACAGGACATACAAATGGCCAGGAGACATATAAAAAAATGCTCAACATCTCTAATCATCAGAGAGATGCAAATTAAAATAACTATGAGATATCACCTCACACCTGTCAGAATTATGGCCATCAAAAATTCCTCAAGTAACAAATGCTGATGAGGATGTGGAGAAAAGGGGACTCTAGTACACTGCTGGTGGGAATGCAGTCTGGTACAGCCACTATGGAAAACACTATGGCGTTTCCTCAAAAAATTAAAAATAAAACTGCCATTTGACCCAGTGATTCCACTTCTAGGAATATATCTTAAGAGGCAAAAAACACCAATCAGAAAGAATATATGCACCTCTATGTTCCTAGCAGTGCTATTTACAATAGCTAAAATCTGGAAACAGCCCAAGTGCCCATCAATAGATGAGTAGATAAAAAAGCTCTGGTACATACACACAATGGAGTAGTATGCAGCTGTAAAAAAGAAGGATATTTTATCCTTTGAGACGACATGGAGGGACCTAGAGAATATTATGCTAAGTGAAATAAGCTAGTCAGAAAAAGACAAGTGTCACATGATCTCTCTTATTTGTGGAACATAATGAATAAAATAAGCTGTTGACCAAAAGAATCACGGAAGTAGGGAACAGACAGACAAACCTCAGAGGGATGGGGGTGGGAGAGGTGGGAAAAGATCAACCAAAGAACTTATATGCATATATGCACAACCAATGGGCACAGACATTAGACTGGGGAAGGCAGGAGGCGGGTGGGAGCGGGAAGGAGAGGTTCAATTGGGAAAAAGAGGGGATATCTGTAATACTTTCAAGAATTAAAAGAGAAGAAAAGAAAAGAAAAGAAAAGAAAAGAAAAGAAAAGAAAAGAAAAGAAAAGAAAAGAAAAGAAAAGAGGCTTCTTGGTTACATAGCTAGAACCTTGTCACCAAATCATTGTGCCTGTCAATCCTCTGCTGTGATAATTTATCTAAGTGTGCAAACACTTCCTCATAAAACAGATATGGAAGAGAAAAACTGAAAAATGGGAAGGGGCCCATTTAACTGACTTACATGTAATTCTAGTAATGCTCTATGTTTTATGGTCAGCCCTTGTCAGGATGTTAAGGATACTGTGTTCTTTATGGGATTCATTAGAACAAATTTCAACTGGGCTTTCCACTGAATATAATTATTCTGTACTCCAACTGGTTTGTTTGTCTGATTTTCAACAAGGGCACAAAAAACTCGTAGGGGACTGGAAATTTGTGGGGTATTTTTGTCTTTTACTATGGTTGTGTAGGAGTATTTGTATATTTTAATTCATATTATTTTGTTATAATTTATTTTCATTTATACTGATTTTCTTTTATGTATGCCTACCGACCTAAGGTTGAATTATCTATGAATTTCTTTCAGAGCTATAAGGGAGGCATTGTGAAACACTGGTTGTAAAATACATAGAGTTGCTCAGTTTGTGTTATAATTGTGTGATTGCATGCCTTTTTTGAGGGGAGGGTCATCTATTACATGCTTTTTTGGGAGGGGTCATCAACTAGTTAGCATCTCACTAAATTTGAGACCCACGTATGAGTTCGTGGGTTTTTTAAATGGCCTTTATGTTATGCACTTTCTATTTTCTAACTTCTCTTCTAATTTTATTTTATCTCCCTCTCTGAATTTTTTTTTTAAGTTTTACTCTTACATGTGCAAATATGTCTTTCCATACCCCTATGAAGTATTTGTGCCCTTGTTGAAAATCAGACTTCAACCGACTGGAGTCCAGTGTAATTATATTCAGTAGAAACACCAGTCAGGAGTTTATTTAGTCAAGGAAAATTTCTTCCCTGTCTGCATTGTTGTGTTAGTGGACTCACTGCTAGTGTGAAGAAAGCATGCTGAGGACCACGTGGCCACTGTGGTGCTCTGGATGGGGAACACAGAACAAAACCTAAGTCTTTGTGTTGGCTTCCTGCACCAGCACTTTGCAGCCCCCCGACTTTGATACCACAGGTGTCATCATAAAAATGAATGAACAGGCCCATTTACTCTTCATAATGACCATGGACTTCGGCACTGCTGGTAGGAACATTGAAAACAGTCATGTCTCCCTTACCTGTGTGTGTTGAAGACAGAATGAAACGTTCTTCACACAATGCCTCACAGTCTTTTCTAAAGATCTAAATAGTTTTTCTTCTCTATTAAAGGTCGTGTCTTTCACCTAAAATATAGATGAAATGATTTATTTTTATATCTCAAATTAATCTGATCCTTAAAGAAAAATATCACCGACAGCATTAGCCTAGCACCTTGCCCCAAACTCCCCGTTGACATGCAGAACTTTCACGGTCTGTGACTGGCTGTGACACCGCGTTCTCTGTGGACCAGCGCACAGCGCGGCTGACGTGTAGCAAACCCACGAGCTGGCCCCGGATTTGCTGTTCAGTTTTCACACAGCTTCACCTGTGTCACGGGAAGCCGGAGGGTGGAAACTTTTCTCTTCTGTGTTTAATGACATGGATTATGGATGTGCCCTTACTAATTATATTACATTTGTGTGCTCACAAAATACTTAATAAAAATAAAGTGGAAATTTAAAAATTAGAATAAAAATTTGATCTATTGCTTGGAATTTTGTTGTTGTTTTAATCCTCACCTGAGGATCTTTTTCTTTTTCTTTTCTTTTTTTTTTAGAAAGAGTGAAAGGAGGGACAGAGAGAGAAAGAGAGAGAAGAGAGAGAGAGAGGGAAACATCAATGTGAGAGAGGCACATTGATTGATTTTCTGCCCCATGCGCTCTGACTGGGCTGGGGATCAAACCTGTAACCCTGGGCTGGGGATCAAACCTGCAACCCAGGTATGTGCCCTTGACTGAGAATCAAGCCCATGACCCTTCAGTGCTCATGATAATCCTTTAACCACTGAGCAACACTGGCCAGAGCTGGAATTTCTTGTTTTGCTGTTATGACTCATTCCAATTTATTTCATGGTAGTTATTTAGAAATATTCTTAAGTTCTTGGCTAAAGAAATGTGATAGTTCTTTATCAACTGAAATGTAAAAGATGATATTTAATCTTAGCAAAACTAGCCTTTGTGAAGGAAACTAAGCAGTTAAGATAGTGGTCACATGTATTCAGTTATTTTTTGTTATCGTACATGTTATGTATTCAGAAAAAGATGCTTTTTATATGCTTGTGGCAGTTTCTCTAAATACGCACTTATTATTGCTCTTAATGGTGAGGAGTGATTGTTGGCCATCCAAATGGCTACCAAAGGTCAAAACCAGCCTCATGCTTGCAACATCTGTGTGAACATGCACATGTGTCATGGAGTGACCGTAGCTGTCCTTGGTTTATACATTTGTTAATTTAAGATGGAAGTGAATGCACAGAAAACAGTGACATTTTTATTTTTAAACCCCGTAATAATGCTCATCTAGAAAGATTTTTGTTTAAATGGGTGGCATATTTCTTTGTAATCTACACAAAATTTAACATGCTTTGCCTTGGGATTTCTATGCTTTAACGCAGTTTGACGTATATAACAAAAGGCTGTGAGAGATTTTAAAAAGTTTTTTTTTTCCTTTATTGATCTTTTTTTTTTTTTAGAGAGAGATAGAAAGTGAGAGGGAGAGAGAGAGATAGAAACATGGATCAGAGAGAACATCGATTGGCTGCCACCTGCATGCCTCCCACTGGGGATTGGGCTCACAACCTGGGCATGTGTCCTGACCGGGAATCAAACCCATGACCTCTTGGTGTGTGGGTCGACAGTCACTGAGCCACACCGGCCAGACTATGATAGGTTCAAGGATGAGAAATATTGCCCATTTCTACTATTTTGTAGTCAAGCCAGGCTGCCTTATTTTGCTGGATTAAACTGCTGTCCCCTTTCTGCTTGAAGAATTCTGTTTATTTTTTAACGACTTGCTCAGCGGTCACCCCTTCTATGAATGCCCCTCGTCACTCCTGCTCTTTCCACTGTGGACAATGAACATCTCCCTCCTCTGTGCTCTCACAAAACTGGCTTATTTTTCTAGCTATTCTCTTCACTGATGGATTACACGCGTTTGAGATGAAGTATTTCTGTCTTAACAATAATAATAATAGCCAACATTTATTAAACACTATGTTCCAGACACTGTGCTAAAACCTGTCTTCTATTTTCTCATTTTAATTCTTATACAACCCTATGGGGTAGTGCCCTGATTCAACCATTTTGGAAATCAAGGGAGGTTTGAGGAAATGTGGTGGAGATAACATTTTCTGTTGTCCACTTACTGACAGAATCTGCACCGCTAGCTCAAGGTGGACACATGGCTGCCCTACCAGTGACTACTCTCCCAGAGCTCCTTGTAGCTGGCTCTGTCCTTGGAACTGGGTTTGGGTAAATAGGACGTGAGCGAAAGTGATATGTTTCATTTCCGAAGCTTGGCCTTTACCCTAACACAGGGAGTTAAAGAAATACGCCTGGCCCTGGCCAGTTTGGCTCAGCTGTTGGAGCATCAGCCTACAGACCAGAGAGTCCCGGGTTTGGTTCCCACTAGGGCAGTGGTTCTCAACCTTCCTAATGCCACGACCCTTTAATACAGTCCTCATGTTGTATGTGGGCGTATCTGCATGTGGGCAGACCCTCCTGGAGACGACAGAAGAGCGGTGTCTCGGCTCCTAAGACCATCGGAAATATGTGTTTTTCGATGGTCTTAGGTGACCCCTGTGTAAGAGTCGTTCGACCTCGACCCACAGGTTGAGAACCACTGTGCTAGGGGCACGTACCAAAAAAAAAAAAAAAGAAATACGCCCAGGTTAATAGGTAGGACCGGGCTTCAAAGCCAGGTGGTCTGAATTCAGAACCTTTCTGCATTTACAGTCTCTCACACAGTGTCTGGCACAAAAGAGTTCAGTACATGTGTGATGAACTGAATAGTATCTTCCTCTTGGGTAATAGCTATATATCCTAACTCCACCAAATATTCCCTTGAGCTGCTGACAAGTGCAAAATTGACAGATTTGAGATTTATCTTTTCTATGGTCCCGCCTAGGCAGCTGATTTTGTGATGAAGTGTGAAATCCTTCATTGCTGACAGGAACACCCTAGCAAAAGATTAAGGGAAAAATCTAATTAATATCCCTCCAGGCCACTTTCCCTACAATGCACTTTTTCGTTCACAACTGCAAAATACCAGAAGCTGATGAAAAAATGTTAAAGAATATAACAGTTTCTACAAAAGCCTGCCCAGAACGGAGACCTGCCTATTGTTCCTCAGTGGAGTTGAGGAATTTCATTTCAAAGGATAGGGGAGAGGTGTTTGCACGTATTTCCACGTGCCCATGGCGGCGACAGTCTCTTCTCACATGAGTTCCCAATTCAATTTTCTTGCTGTTGTCTTTAGCTGAAATGTCCGGATTTTCCTTTCCCTGACTTGACTACACACCATAAATGCCCCAAACGTCCCACATTATAGCTCCACATGGAGAGGAGGGGCCGGGAGCAACCTCCTTTATGCGATGGACCCTGCGAGCGCCTACAAGAATATAAGAAGTAAGCAGAAGCCGTGTCTTTCTGGAAAGTCCATGCTGGGTGTGGTAGGGGAAAGCCATCGCAGCCAGAGGAGGAGACGCAGACAAGGCTTGGACGCAGTGTATTTACTCACAAGCCCTCGAGGCGGTGACCACATGCCAGGCAGGGCCACAGGGTGTCACTAGGCTTGGTTGGGTGGCAGGAAGGTGCGAGAAGAAAGTCTGGGCCAGAGTTTTTATTGGTGTTTCCGTGGGAAACCCTACAGACACAGCTGGGCGAGATAAACCGCTCAGGATTCACCAGTTTGAATAGTTGTCCTGGGCTTGAGGTTATGTGGGTTGTCTCCAATTGCTTGACATCTGGCCCTGGTATCGAGGGCAGAGGAATATTGGTGTGTGGATTCGATAAGGAGGTGGTTGGGGCTATAGATTCTGGATTTGTTGGTTTGCCCGTGAAAGAAGTGATCTCAGCTGAGCCCTTGGGCCTCTCCAAGAACAGGCTAGATCTGGGCTGGCCTCTCCCTTCAGCCAGCAAGCTTTCTAAAGATGTCAAACATCATAAAATACAGAAAGGGAAAGACCTGATTAACACACCATGAATCATGGAGTTTATATCCACATGGGAAGTAAGAGGTCTGCACATTAAAAGGTAAATAACAATACAAGGTAATGATGTAAAATAATGGTAGTGATGATGATGATATATCCTGAGTGCTTACCCACCGTGTTAGGTCCTTTCTTTATATGCATCCTTTTATTTACTCCTCTCTGCCACTCCATGTGTTAGGTCCTAGTACAATTCCCCAATTTACAGATGATTACACTGAATCCAAGTTACATGCCCAAAGACAAATATTTATGAAGTGACAGGGGTGAGGTTCAAACTCAGATATGGACTCTTTGAGAAATTTCTGCCCTGTGCTACCTCCTGCAAATATTAACAGTGCCACAACTGGGGTCCACTTCGTGAGCTTGTTAGGCATTCACAGGGGGAAGAGGCCACGTCTAGCTTAGTGGTCAGGGAGCTGCAAAGACAATGAAGAAAGAACAACACAGCAGCTAAAGAGTGAGGTAGATCAGATGAGCCATCTAAAACCAATGCTGAGCCAGGCCGGTGTGGCTCAGTGGTGGAGCATTGACCCCATGCACTAAGAGGCTGCTGGTTCGATTTCCAGTCAGGGCACATGCCCAGGCTGTGGGCCCCATCCCCAGTGTGGGACATGCAGGAGGCAGCCAGTCGATTTTCTCTGACTCTCCCTCCCTTCCTCTCTCTAAAATCAATAAAGAAAAATAAAGATTTAAAAAATAAAAGCAATGCTGTTCACCATACAGCTGCCACTAGTTCAAATTAAAACCCTTAATTAGAGAGGTTACCATAATAAGGGATAAAATCAGGCAAATGAGAAGGAAAGGAAAAAGTTCTACATAGTATCTAAAGAAACTTCCTTTGGTTAGAAGCCCATGGTGTCACCACCTCCAGGCCATGAACTTCCTATCTTGTGATTCTTAAAGTGTGTACGTCAGGTGTTATTTAGCTTCAAAACATTGGGAATCTTTGTAAAAACACAGATTTCTAAGTTGTATCCTTGAACCAGGTGCAACCCTGGACTCTTTTAGCAAGTCCCTCCGCTAATTCGTATGCACATTAACCATTGAGAGGCTTTGCTAATCCGTCTATTATGTATTAGAGTTTGGGGTGAAAGTGGTTCAAGTCCAGTGAAACAGCTGACACATAACCATTACCCAGAACTGTATTCTTGTACTGGGGCTAGGGAGGGGAAGAGGAAAGGGAGAAGTGGGAGGAAAAAACTACACTAATGTGTGCACCTGAACACATATTACTACAGGTGAGATAAAATGAGGTGACCATCAAGAGAGCCCTCAAGGACAGCGAGATTTTAAAAGAGCAGAAACAAGACAGAGATGAAAGGAGGGCATTGCCTTGGGTGAGGTGATGTGCTGGTTTGGTGAGGCTCTGGGCATCCCTTGATGAGCCCTGTCCCTATGTCCTTATCTCTGCTTGCCTGCTTCCTGAGTGGAAAGATCACAGCTAAGAGTGTCAAACCCACCCTCACTCCATTTATCCCAAAAGAGAGAGAGAGAGAGAGAGACAGAGAGAGAGAGAGAGAGAGAGAGAGAGAGAGAGAGAGAGGCAGCATAACAGCCCTGGGCAATTATCTTGATTCTCAGTGCTCTAGAAACAGCTGTGTACCAACAAGACAGAACCTCACAAAAATATCAGCGTTCACATTCCCCAGGAAAGTCTATGTGGCCCCAGAAGAAAAATTACCTGTGATTCTCCTCTGGTCAGAATCTTTAGATAATTGGTCACTCTCTTCGATTTCTTGCTAATTGAATGAATGTTTAGTTTAGACAATTTCTCTCTAAGTGATTCATCCTCATCATTCTTCTTGTATTTTAGAACTGAAATGGAAGAAAGCAATGACATATCTGAACACATGCAGCACGGAAAGTGTGTTTTGTCCAAAGTGTTCAAGATCAATATTGATATGTAAGCTAAAAGGCCACGTGACTTTTGGCTCTCTGTCGCAGATGCAATTTACTCTGGCCCCACTGCCCAATCGTAACTCCGGCTGCCCACCCCATCGTCCTTCAGAAACCCTGCTGTCCAGGGGTGTGAGCTCCTTAAAGCCCAAAGTTCACTTACCTTCCACATTCAAGAAATCCCAGATACTGAAAAAAAACTCTTCCTATCTTCTCAGGTAATATATTTACTCTCTGGGGTCTCTAGAAGGAAGCATCAAGACCTAACTAACGAGGAGACATTCAACTTAAGGAAACCTCAGATCCTCCACCAGCAGAGAGGTGTGGGGCAAATCAAGTCACATCTCTGAGCTTTACTTTTTTTAAATTGATTTTTTAGAGAGAGGAAGTGTCTGTGTGTGGGATCAGGAGAGAGAGAGGGGAGGGGAAACATCTGTATGAGAGAGAAACATTGATCAGTTGCCTCCTGTACACACCCCAAATGGGTATTGAACCTGTAACCTAGGTATGTACTCTGACTGGGAATCAAACCTGAAAGCTTTTGGTGCACAGGATGATGCTCCAACCAACTGAGCCACCCGGCCAGGGCTGAGCTTTACTTTATCTTTAAAATTACTTTTAGCTCTCATATTGTTTAAATATTAAATATTCCTAACATTCCTTTTTGGTAAAAGTGTGGAGAGATGGGCAATCTCACATACTGTTGATGGGGATTATACTAATATAATGTTTGTACAGAACAATTTGGCAGCATCTCATAAAAATTAAAATATTTGTAGTCTATGATCAGGAAGTCCATGCACAGAAAACTGCTTTCTATAAGTATACAAAGTTTTGTTTGCTACAGCATTTCTTTTTCTAATAGTAAAATGTTGGAAAGAATCTAAAAAGCTGTCCTAAAGCAATAGTTTAATAAACTATGACATATTCATAAATGGACCACTATAAAACCATGAAGACCACATTAATTGGAAGAATGTTCATAATATATGATAACTTTTTTTTTTAAACTTAGTAAACTGTGGTATCACATATGTTGTGGGATGGAAGAAGGAGAAGAGAGAGAGTGAGAGAGAGAGAAGAAAGAGAATAGAAAAAAAGACATAAAAAGTCTGAAGGAAACTTGATAAAATCTTAGCTATGCAAACTAGAATCATGAGGCAAGAAAAGTTTTTCTCTTTAAAACTGTGAAATATTTTAAGCAATCACAAAAGTAAAAAGAATAATATAACAGCTATTATTTGTCTCCTAGCTTTGTCAAATCTTTAATTTTACTTTGTTTCCAGCCCTTTAATTTAAAAATTTGCATAGCAGGTGAAGTTTCTCTGAACCCCATCTATAATCCCTATAAGGAATTGTGATCTTAAATAATGGGCTTATTATATCCGTGTCTACTTTTATGCCTTTATTGTATATATGCAATCATAGTATTATTTTGAATGAGTTCAGTCGTTATAAAAATGGTACCAAATTGCATATATTCTTCTGTCACTTGGTACTTTATTTAAAAAAAAACAGCATTCTTTTGATTTATTCAAATGACAAATATACTTTAATTTTTATAACTTTTATGTTTTTATGCTATCACAGGGTATAATACACAGTTTACCCATTATCTGAATAAATATATAAGCCACTTTCCTTCTTTCTTTTGTTCCTTTGCTACTAGGAAAAATTGTCATTACCAGTACAACTCTCTATGAAGTTATGGACAAGTTTCTCAAATATCTAGAAATTGATTTTCTGGGTCCTGGGTGTGTGAATCTTCAGCTTCAACAGATATTGTCAAATTGTCCTCCCAAGTGGAGACTGCAGTGTGCATCCTCACCTGCAGACTAAGCCTCGGCACTTAGCATTGTCCATCAGAAATCTTTCTGCCAATCTGATAGGCTGGAAATGAGATGTTGTGATTTTAATTTGCACTTCCCCGATTATTGTGAAGCTTAGCATTTAAAAATGTATTGGTCTATCTGTAAACTGCCTATTTTATCATTAACATTTTTTTTTTTTTGTATTAGAATGTTTTTGTTGCTAATTTCATACCACTAGTGATATACTCTAGATAGTAATCCTGTGTCTATGGGCTGTCCTTTCATTTTGTTCATAGTGTGTATTTCTCTATAACTTTCACTTTTTACTCTGTGCCCTTCTTTAGAATTTGAACTTATTAATACAAATACACACCACTTTTTGAATTAAAAAATGGCAAGAAAATAGTAAAAATAAGTGAATAGTTGGACCAGTTAGCTCCAAAGGCCTACCATCGCTTTACTGTTGAACTGAGGTTTAACATTAAAAGTACAAAGCTAAGGCCTGGCTGGGTTGGCTCAGTGGTTAGAGCGTTGGCCCACAGACCAATGAGTCTTGGGTTCGATTCCAGCCAAGGTCACATATCTCGGTTGCGGTTCATCCCCAGCCCTGGTCGGGGTGGTGTGGGAGGCAACCAGTTGATGTGTCCCTCTCACTTTGATGTTTCTCTCTCTCTCCCTCCTACTCTTTCTGAAGATAAATAGAAAATGAGGATTAAAAAACAACAGTACAAAGCCAATTAAAAACTTAAGGAACAGCTCACACTGAGGGAAGACCCGAGATCTGTCCCAATGCACTCCCACTTCCGGATGACAGGAGAGATGTCATTGTGCCTCCTGTTTTGACATCTATATTATACCTTAGACACCAATTTTACATCTCAGCTAACAAAGAGCTAACAATAATTTGTGGACTCGAGAAAAAATAGACTTGTTCCCTTCAGTGGAACAATTACTGCCCCCCAACCCCCATCATTTGTGTGCCCAACCAGGTGAGCTCCCGCGCTAGCTGGGCCCCTGCCCGGGTCTTCCCTTCACCACCGGTTGGAGCTCCAGCTACAAGGCCTGGCCGCTCCTTCTTAACCATCCTACTGCCAGAGATGGGAAGACAAAGTCTCTGGGGATCTTTGGCCCACAGTATGTCATCAGGCGTGCAGTGGTCACCAGAGTTTGACTATGGAGCTGTTTGACTGTTTTCTCAGTGGTCATTTTTTGTGTCTCATGATCTCCTGAACCCAGCTGCAAGGCAAAGCCACACTCTGCCCCTAGCTTCTGACTCTAGGTATCGAACGATCGCCATCTCCACAAACTGGAACTCCTCAGGCATTCTGATTCTCAGAAACCCAATAGGCCAGTCATGGAAAGCACCCAAGTTATCATGTCTCTTCTTACCTAAATCTTTCCGCCTTTTGAATTCATTGATGTTTACATTGATGTCCCTCACTGCGGCACAGGCGCCCTCCAGCGCTCGGAAGTCGGGGTGAGAGGCAGGGGTCGCCTTGCGCAGTTCGCACAGCAGCAGCGGGTATTTCGTCACTCGCTGAATCGGTTTGATCATCAGGGAGCCCATGCTTGTTAAGTTTGGTTTGCCTCTGCAACAGAGATAAATAACATCAGTCTTACAAACATGTGTTTTATTATCTGCTTTTAAGTTTCGTGATTTTTTTATGATTCACCTGAAACGGTTTCTCTTCCCCACCCCATTCGTTTGACTAAGTACAATTTCTAAACAAAAGCAAGAGCAGTGGGTGACAGGAAGAAGCATGGCTGAAAAATCCCACTACTAAACAAAAACCTAAAAACAAAACAACAACAACAAAGACAAAGACACGCGTATATGTGTCCACCAGAAAAGATTCAAAGCATCATTTCCATCCACTGATGGTTTTTGTTAATACCAGACTTTATGAGAACAGTGGGAAACGAACAGTGTCAGAAAGCATTTCTCCATGACAACCAAGAAACATGCTTTTCGCCGTTAGTATTTTTAAGATTATTAGTGAGGAAAACAAGTTCATTCTTCAAACATCTAAACAGATGATTGCCAAGTATAGTCAAAAGAAAGTATTGTCTCCTCTCTTCTACCACATTGAGAAGTTGCATTTATATTGCTTCAGAGGTTCTGTCAGTCCCCCAAAGAGATTTATAAAAAATGCAGTAGTTCCCTAAATGTTGTTGATACTATCACTATCACTAATCACTGCTATCCTACAAGGACATTCTGTGGGGAATTGTTCTCAGCCAGCAAATGTTCTAAGGGCTGCACCAAAGTGAACACTCATCCTGACTACAAGCCTGGTCATGTCCAATCCACTGTCACCCATTTTCCAGGCAGAACACAAACCTCTTTATGCAAAGAGGCAGGTAAAGAGACATTGTAAATGAAATGAGTGAAAATCATACTCTGTGTCTCTTCTGGTGGGCATAAATATTTACTTGCTTTCCTTTATGCTTTTATTTAGTAGATAGAGAATTCAGACACTATTTGCAAATCTTGGATTTTTCATTCTTCAATTATTATTTTTAAGTACTAATGTGGAAAGACAACAGACTGAATAATTGGAATAATGAAATAATCTAAAAAACACTGAACAAAATTAGAAAAGTTGCATCGTTAGAAAAGATCTGAAGGCACCTTAGAGACCATCTAATTGAACTCTTCATTTGGAAAATGAGAAACTAAGAAACTTTGATTATTATGTGTACACACACACACACACACACACACACACACACTAGCCACTCTGTACCACATCTTCCCATTTTATTTTTATCACAGTACTTATCAATATCAAAATCGTCTTGTTTCTCTATTTTCCAGTTTATGCTGTTTCTCTGTCACCACTGTATCTCCAGCATGACATATATGTTCTCTCAGCAAACATTTGTATACTGTAGATTTCTCAGATTTTTTGTAATGTGCTTTTATTTTACATTGAACCCCCCCCCCCCCCAATCTCCAATGGTCCTAGTAACTAAAGAATTTTGCTCATGGGCTGAGCAAATGATGAAATGATGATGGCATAATGGAAACAAAAACTGAAGCAAACCAGAAGCTAGCATTTTTCCCCCCAGGAAAACCAAAATTAAAAAAGGTTTTCAAGGGAGTAAAGGGCTGCTTTATATGACTTATCTTGTACTTTCTACCCATTTGCACCAAATCTACTAAGGAAGGGAGGCAGGAGAGGAAGACGTCATTGGTTTCCAAGAAAACTGGGTGAAGCAGATGGAAAAAAAATGTAAATATTATGAATACTGAAAAAATAATAAGTACAAACATATTTCCTAACTGATGGTGTATCAATAGCTGAACCTTTGAATATGAAGAACACATTTTCTTACATATCTTAAGCAGAGATGTTTTAACAATATGGCAGTTTAGAGACTTAAGTAGAACAATTCCCTTTAAGTAAGAATACATCAGGAATATAGAAGATATTCACTAGAAAAATACATATTATCTATATGAATATGATCAAATTTTCTTCTGAGTTTTTCCTTTAATTATCACCAAATATTATTTTATTTAATCTTCTAAAAATCACTGAAAACACTATCAATATACAAATATATTCAAACAATCTAATTAAAAAAACTCAGCTTTAATAAGAGCTTATCAGTGTGGTCCATCATTTTATATATATAATTTTTAAATCCCCAACTATATTAAAGGCTACTCCTGTATCTTTGAGCTGTCCTCCTTTTTGCTTTGTTAAGATTGGTCAAAAATGAAACTAGGTCCTTTAGTTGTGTTCAAATCTCATCACTACTTCTTTTTCCATCACTCTTTGGCATCAAAATTCTATTCTCTCCCTGTTATGTTTCAAATGACAATAATAACAATAATAAATGATTACTGTTTCTCTTAAAAGCATCACAAATATTATAAAGCCTCTCTCATAAACAAGAAATGTCTTTTGTCTTCAGACATGCACTTTGGACAATTGCCCAAGTGATGAGCAATGAAGTTCTGATATCTGCAACACACAGACAAGCAATGTGGTAAAGCAAATAGAGGACGTTGCAAGATAATGACACTCCAGGAACTGAATGCCACAAAGCTCACCCATCTAATTCCTCCCAATAAAATTAGGTTCTGATAACTTTGAGGCATATGAATCCTATGTGTGATACAACCCAGTTTAGCCAAGCCCCAACTCCCATGTGCCTCCCCCACAGAAACCTCCCTCCCAGAAAGTAACTGAATTTGTAGCAGTTTCCCATACATATTAGGCTGAAAATAAGGTAAATTAATTTGTAATTCTATTTCATCTTCTTCCTTCTTATCATAAATACTTAGTACCATAAGTAGCTATGCTAATCTCATTAGAAGTTATTATTGGGACTTTACAAAGTCAAGTAAACACAGCTGGCTTTGTTTTAGCAGCATCCAGTTTTGCTATAAAGAGTTTTACATCAAATACAAGAAAACAGTTCCACAGTAAAAATAAAGATGACATTTAAACAATGTCAAAACTATGATGAGAAACAAAAAACATCATTCAACACGGAGGCACATCTATATTTCTTAATAGAGGGAGAAAATGAGAGAAAAAAAATAATCATGTAACTAGTGATCATATTACTTTGAATTTCCTCTATTTTATGACCATAAGTATCCTAAATTTAATATTTAATTTACGGTAGCCACAAACTAACTACACTAGCATTGATTTTTTTCAATGTATGACCCTTTTAAAACACATTAAGTCAATTTTAGAGGAAACTCTGTATTGCTACAAATAAGAAGCAAATAACATTTGCCATAAATTAAAAATAGTTGTGAAAATAAATACAGAACTATCAATAAATTTTAGAAGATGTAAAGGGAATGAATGAATGATAATTGATGCAGCAGATCAGAGAGAACCAGAATATGGATAGATAATAATTTAATCATTCTTCCAAAGGTTTACTAATTAGACTTCCTGAGAACCTGTGGGAGCAGAGAGGGAGGGAGCTGGGCATTAGAATGAGAATGGACTAGTTGAAAACATGTCTAAGAAACAGCCTAATTCTTAGGGAGCCATACAAGTAAAAGGAATCATCTGGAGAAGAAAGATCTCTTAGAAATTAAAGGATACTAACAGAAATAAAAACTCAGAGTGTTGGAAAAAATATTCAGGCTTTTTCCGGAGAAAAGAGCAAAACTACTAAGAGACTGAGAATAAAAAAAAAATACAGAAAATTAGAGGACTGTTCTAGGAGAGCCAACATGAAAATGATAAGAGTCCCAGAAAGACAGAGCAGAGAACATATGGGGCAGAAATCATCAAAGAAAGAATTCAAGGAAAGGACAGGGTTAGCAGGTTGAAAGAACTCATCGTGTATCCAGTACAATGGATGAAATGAATTTTGCCCTCGGAATTCATGGAACTTCAGACTTTTGGAGACAAAGAGAAGATCCCACAATCCTCCAGAGAAACATATAAACAAACAGGTACAAACAAATGCCTGGGGATCAAACAATACTTCAGATTTCTTGTAGCAACACTGAAAACCAGAAAACGATGGAAAAGGACCATTGCATTTTGAAGACGAATGGTTTTCAATATGGACTTCTCGACTGTTTAGAATTCAGTAGTTTAGAATTCAAAGTACAAATTAAGTGTGAGGGTAAAATAAAGATATTCTGAATATAAAAGTTCTTAAAATTTTACTTCTCATGCATTATTTGATGAATAGAAAAAAACTATTGAAAGACGTACTCTACCGAAACCAGAAAGGCAAAGAGGATCTCCAGAATGGTGGGAGGGGAATTCCTGAAAGACGGTGGTGCCCTGTGTCAGCAGTTCCAGTCCAAACTCAACAGGTCGGAGACTCTGGGACAAGCTTTTTTAAGGAAAGTGAAAGTGATACTATACACAGTGCAGCTGGGTGTCCTGCGATTAGACTGACTGTGAGCTTGGCATTAATGATTAGCAGAAAGAAAACTTAGAAAATAATAAAAAAAAAGAGATAGTTAACTCCCAGATAAACAAACAATAATTTATTCCAAGGTTTAGCTCTGAAATAAATTTACTCAGATATACTCAGATACAATAATTCAAACACTGGTTATTCTTCTAATCCAAATTATAATGTAACTATATAAGGAGAATGAGAGGTAGGAAGAATGTGTGAATGTGTGTGTGTATGCGTGTGTGTGGTGGAGATGGGGTAGGAAAGAGAGATAAATTATCATCTTCTATAGGGAAAAGTCAACACATAATACCCCAAAAGGTAAAGCCAAAACTGTTTTTAGAGTCAAGGAGATAAATTCCAAAAGAGTCACCTAAAAGATGTGAAAATGCTTGTGTTCCCACAAGGAGCCTTTAGCAGCTGGTAGGAGGGGAGAGGACTACTCTTTTCCTGACATCATGTAGGACTATTTTGTTTTTTAAACCATGGTACATAGAATTTTAACAAAAGAAAATCTTAAAGGAAAGAAACATGCAAGAGTATACCAGAAATTCGGAAAGAAAGAGTACTGAGTTGAGATTAGTTAGATCTGGTATTAAAAGATAAAGCTGCAAAAATGAAAGCAGTTTAGTATGGGCACACATATGGACAGATGATTAGCACAAAATAGAAAATCAAGTTATATATACAGTAATGTATGGAAAATAAGTACATGGTAAGTATGACATTTCTACTCAGTAAAAAACTATTCAATATTGGGTGTTGTAATAATGAACTAGCCACATAGAAAAAATAATAAAAGTGAATTCTTTACACCAAAGTAACTTTTAGCTAGATCAAAGATCTAAATGTTAAAAATGAAACTATACAATAAATTGAAGAAATCATAGGATTATGCTTTAAAAACATTCTTGGGGTTTTTAAGCAAGACATAAAATCCAAAAGCCACAATAGAAAAAGTGATAAATCTATTAAAAAATGTGCTCCATAAAACTGTACAGATAAAAACAAAAATGGAATAAGCCATAAACTATGTTAAAAAGTCAAATGATAAGCTGGAAAAATTATAACACAGAAGACAAAAAAGGGTTAAGATATAATTAAAGAGCCATTATCAATTTATTAGAAAAAGATGAACATTTAACTAAATGTGAACAATCATTAAAAAAAAAAAAGTCTATTAGAAGTGAAATGCAAATGTTTAAGCATACATGAAAAATGCTCGAGATCATTATTAATGAAAAATTTAAAAAATACATTACTATTTTTGGCCTATTACAGTGTCACATGTTGCAAACATACAAATATTAATTGTATCTAGTGCTGGCAAGTAGCAGATAAATGGACAACTCATTTATGGGTAGTGGGAATATAAATTAGTTCAACTTCTCTGAACTTGTCTTTACTGTTCTCATTTTAATTTTCTATATTTTGCAGTGTTTCTCCAATAATTTAAAAACACAAAGCTCAAGAAAAAAGAAAACAGCTCATGACATTTTGAGATAAATTGAAACCCTGAGACCCAAGGGCTGGATGGAATAGCTGGTCAGACAGAGAACACGTGCAGAAAAAGGTAAATACAGGAAAAGCCAATACTATATTTCTGGAGATAGTTAAATTTAGAACAGGCATGCTTTTCTTGCCTTAGAACATGGGATTGTATCAGATGCTTTTTTGGGAGGGTGAGTTTTTGGTGGGGGATGACTTTTTGGTGGGGAATTCTTTTCATTTTAATACTGTCTTTGATGTTTGCATAAGATTATAATTCAAAGTAATCATTTTATAGCAAAGTTACAAATATCTCTGTCTTTTTCTGTACTTAAAAAAATGTAGATTTAAAAAACCTTAGATGATTTTTTAGTTTCCATAAGTAAGGGATTGTTTTTTAAGCCATTAAAATACCCACCCCTCCTAAATGCACTCTTGGCTACAACATTCCTGGCCTTAGATGCTAAGAAGCCTAACAGTTACACAGCAGTTGACATTGCCTTTGACCCTTTTATGTTGCAGCTTGTGTGCCTCGTGACCTGGGAGGAACTGGAGAGAAACTGGAAGGAAGATAGCTCATGGCAGACATGGCTTTGATCTTCATCCAGCCACACACCATGAATACACTTCCTCTTTTGCAGTTCTGGGTGTATTATAGAATAGGCTGTCAGCCCGCTCACTCTCACGCAGCAAGACTGCTGCAAAAGCTAGTGTAATTTTTTTAAGACACATCTTTCAATGCAATCTACTGTTTATTGTAGGTGTTCTGAATGGAACACCTGTGCATGCTAACTTCATTAAAATAATTTAATCTCTCACTCTCCTCCTCTGAATCTCTCTCTCTCTCTCTCTCTCTCTGTCTTTTGCTTATAAGCACCTAAGTTTTAGAAAAGAAATCTAATCAAAATTTGTAGCATATGAAGTTCTTCTCTAGTCATCCAGCTATGTGACTCTCCGGTCCTAGGCACAATGATGCCAGGGCACAGGCTTTATAATGAGACAGCAATCCCTACCCCACCCCATCCTCATCAACCCTCCCTGAAGAGAAGCCAGGAAGACCTGTTGTGTGGAAGGACCCAAAGGCCCGCTTCTCCTATTACACACATCTGCAAGTTCAAGTGACTCTGGATTTAGGAACACATTGAACAAACCTACTCATGTCTGTTTATACTATAGGATTTTTCTTTCTTTTTGAAAGAAAAGACTTATAGGGTAAGGGAACTGGGTGCTTGCTTGGTACATCAAAAACTACGTTCTCAGCCTGGCTGAGGCATAAAGCCTTAGTCCTCAGGTCTCCTGAATGATGCCTGATTCTTCCACTCATTCCTGGAATTCTGTCTTTCCTCGTGGTTGTTCTGCACCAAAGCATGAATTGCAGGTACTTACAGGTTAAATTAATGTAAGTTTTGCTTCGTACATTTTGTATTTCCCAATGTAAAATTTCTGGAGTGGAACACACACACACACACACACACACACACACACACAGAGAGAGAGAGAGAGAGAGAGAGACACTAGGAACTCAGGGCCTTAGATAGTTGCTGACCGAGCTAAGCCAAGCATGTGCTTTTCAGGTCCTATACATTTGTGTTTGTATGTAAGTCAACATCATCCTTTCAGTATTAGGCTAAACACACTTTTCTTACATAAAAATGGGGCTCTCTTAGTAACCAAGTATTTCATCTTAATAGGTCATTTTCATGCTATATATGTGGGCATGATTTTTTTCTTTGCAAATCATGCAAGAATCCAAATGAGAAGAAACCCACTATTTTATTATAATGCGTAAGCAGTCTTTTCTTTTGTACATTAATCTATGGAAACTTCAAAAACCTTATGGCATTAGTCTGAGATTTTTTTTTAAAGACTAATTTTATTCTTAGAAAAAAGTGTTCTGGACACATTCACATTCCTAAACATATGTGTGATAAGCAGTTGCTGGCACCAGCACACTTGTGATTTAAGTAAATCATATCCCAAGATTCTTCTAAAAGTTTAGTAAAGTACATATAATAAAAATTTAATATATAAGATTATCTCAGACAAATTAAAAATAAGTGCACCAATAATGTCTACAGCAAATGCCTTCAAAATCTTGATTTATTTATTAAAAGCAATAAACAAAATTGTAAAAACTAAAATGTCTGATTTGTAAAGTGTTCAACAGCTTCTCCTCATGATTTTTACATATGATTTTTATTATTAAGATAAAAGTACTTACTCTTGCATGTATATTTCCCTGTAAGAGAAAAGGAAGAAAGTAAATTCATGTAAATACACATATTTGAGGTAACATACAAGCATTATAAAATTTTTTAAATTTTATTACATAAAATAAAGTTAGTCATTTTTGCAAATGTTTTATATAATTGGTCTCATTGTTTTATAATGATGTCCCTACATTTTCATTTTAGTATGTTTGCACCATTTTTGTTTTACTCTTTATAGTATAAGGTTAAAAACTGTTGATTCAGCCCTGGCCAGTGTGTTCAGTGGTTAGAGCATCAGCCTGGCACGAAAGGGTTGCGGGTTTGACCTCCAGCGACAGGTTGGGGCAAGTGCAGGAGGCAACCAGTGATGTGTCTCTCTCACATTTATGTTTCTCTTTCTCTCTCTCCCCCTCTCAACTTTCTCCCTTGCACTGTCCCAGAAATCGACCTATCATTATGCACAATTAATATTTGACAAAGAGGGTAAGAGTATACAACGGAGTAGACAGTCTCTTCAATAAATGGTGTTGGGAGAACTGCACAGGTACATGCAAGAAAATGAAACTAGACCACCAACCTACACCATATACAAGAATAAACTCAAAATGGATAAAAGACTTAAATGTAAGTAATGAAACCATAAAAATCTTAGAAGAAAAGGTAGGCAGCAAAATCTCAGACATCACATGTAGCAGAATTTTCACTAATACATTGCCTAGGGCAAGAGAAACCAAGAAAAAAAATTAATAAATGGGACTACATCAAACAGAAAAGCTTCTGCATGGGCAAAAGAAACCAGCATCAAAATGAAAAAGGAGGGCACTCTCTGGGAGAACATTTGCCAAAGATACATTGGATAAGGGGTTAATATCCAAAATATATAAATTTCTCTCTAAAATCCAATGGAAAAAATATTCTTCGTTTTTTTTGTTTTTTTTTTTTGTACATGCCCCTAGCAGGAACCAAACCCAGGACCCTCTGGTGCGCAGGCCAATGCTCCAACCGCTGAACCAAACTGGCCAGGGTGGAAAAAATATTCTTGAGTGAGGGTTTGGATTAATAACACAATATAACACAACACAACACAACACAACACAACAAAACAAGCCCTGGCAGGTTTGGATCAGCGGTTAGAGCATTGGTCCTCGGACCAAAGAGCTGTGGGTTCGATTCCAGTCATGGGCATGTGACTTGGTTGTGGGTTCCATCCCTGGTCCTGGTTGGGGCTGTGCAGGAGGCAGCTAACCGATGTGTCTCTCTCACATCAATACTGCTCTTTCTTTCTCTCCCTCTCACTCTATCTTAAAAAAAATCAATGTAAATATACCCTCAGGTGAGGATTAAAAAAAACAAAACTGTTGATTCAGATTATAGTTAGTAAATTTTCATCATTTGAAAATGGATTTAAAGGTAAATTTTTGTTTATGTTACAAAAAAAGAGTCCATTGAACATAATAGGAAAACCGGAGATGACAAGATTATAAGGGGAAGTGACTGACTTGCAGAAAGCGACAATGCTCTGTGATATCTTTGTATATAGTGTGATGCAGATTATGAATCCTTCACCTACTCCATGAGAGAACTCCGCAGACACTTTCACACGGCCTTGCTAGCTTTGGTGGCTTCCATTTTGCTCAAGTAAAACTAAAATCTTTCCAAAGCAATGTGCTGCTTCTCTCCTCCCCCTCCTCTCTCCCTCCTTTCCTGTGGACCCCTACTCTCCCAGCTGTGGCACCTCACAGGCCTCCTTGTTCTTTCTAAGGCAGAAGACAGACCCCTGCCTGGAGGTCTGGGCAGGGCTGTCCTGCCCATCCCCTCCTCCAGACACCGCTAACTCCCTATCTCCTTCAGCCCTGGCCTCAAACGCTCCTTCCCTGACCAACCTCTTCAAAACTGCGCCCTGCCTCCCACTGTACTCTTCATCCTCACTCCCTGCTCTAGTTCTCTCCGCTCTGCCTTGTCACTTTCTAGTGCACTATGTACGTCTTCGTTCACTGTCTCTCTGCCCCCCCCACCCCAGTGAGGCAGGGATTTATCCTCGCTTTCTTCTCAGCTGTCACCCTGGGGCCCGAGAAAGTGACTGGCACGTGGCAGGATGGCAAAACCTAGTTGCCAAATTAATTAATGAACAATAAGAAAGTGGGACTCGTTCAAGTCGAATGTCAGGAATAAGGGTGATGAAGATTCTCTCTGAAAGCCTCCTGCGGTTGTAGGGAAGGGAATGAATAACCCGTGTTAAAGACCTGGCCACCTCGATCTCTGGTTTCCAGTCTGAATGCAGCACATGTTCTCAGTCTAGAAAAGATTGGAACCCCGTCCCCTAACAGAAGATGGTCTTTTTATACTCAGTGATTGTGAAAAATTCAGTGATCAATACCTGTGCTGAATTTTCATGAACTTAATACGTTTGAAGAACCTTCTTACTTCAGTGGAAGAAATTGCATCACCACTATTTACTTGCCCAGTGTCTCCTTCCATTCATTTCTGTTAAACTCCCATTCTTTCCCCAATTTCTCTCTCTTTCTAATGAGGAATTTATTTTTCCAGAATTCACTATAGATTAATACATCAGAAAATTTCGAAGAGAAATTGACTAAAAATAAAAATACAATTATCGTCCGGCCAGTGTGGCTCAGTGGTTGAGCGTGGACCCATGCACCAAGAGGTCACCAGTTCGATTCCCGGTCAAGACACATGCCCAGGTTATGGTCCCGATCTCCAGTGGGAGGCATGCAGGAGGCGGCCAATCAATGTTTTCTCTCACTAATGTTTCTATCTCTCTCTCCCTCTCACTTCCTCTCTCTCTAAAATCAATAAAGAAAAAAAATATTTTAAAAAATGCAATTATCTATGGAAACAAACAAGTGAACCATGTGATCATCTGGGAACCAAAACAGCTTTGAAGTTGAAAGAAAAGATTGCTCTTTTCCCTCCTCTATTTCATGTAAAATAAAACCTAGATATTATGAGTTAAATGCTGTGTTTAATGTAAGTATAACATTTTATGAAAAGGAACCTGATCTTCAACAGGTTTTCCCTGTTGGCATAGCAAAATAGTGGCACTATGTTATAACATCCCTTTTTTATTTGCTCTTCTTAAAAAAATCTCTCTTTTACGGTAAAAGTTTTCCAGAAGTTATCCCCAGCCAAGGACAATTCAGGAGGAAGTTAAATCGCATTCATTTACCCCTTTATGGAATAAACTAACTCCATATGTCCACTGCCACACCCCCGACCCTCATGGGCTCATTATAATTTGACTCACAATTAACATACGTTTTTATGTGGCGATTTCTTAAAGATTATAATCTTTGTTCAAACCCGATGCCACATAAAGAAATAAAAAAAATTTCCAAAAGTGGTTTTAATTTTTATGTGGAATGTTCCGTTAGAATAATATTCAGAAATACAAAATGCGTTAAACAAATTGAAATCTCTCCCTTTCGAGTTGGTCTTGAACGACCTTACCGCTCCCCCCTCTAAGGGGAAGTGTTTGCTGGAGCAAGAGCCGCCTCAGCACCTAGAAGTTAGAAGTTTTCCTTCTATGGCTGATGGACTTAGGAAGAAACATGTGGAGAGAAATATGTGTCTTCCAGCTACCAAAAGAATTTGGAAAAGCCCCCTTCATTCTTTTCTATTACAAAATAAACAGGTCTCTAGGGTCTCCGGAAGGCAGCAGGGCTGTGGTGGTATTTATAGCTAGAACAACAGAGGAGGCAGCAGACAGTCTCTTCTAATTATAGCTGCACCCGCATTTACACCTATTCTGTTTTTCACTTTTCTCACACAGATGAGAAACCTTAAAGAACCCCAAAGAGGCTGAGTAACTAGATCTTTAGCAAATGACTTCCATAATTCAGAGACGAGGTTAACACAGCATTTTCCCTAATCTTCGGGGTCACTAACACAACTGTGTAAACACTCCTTGTTGAACAAGGAAAAGCTTGCAGATTTCCAGTTGGTACACTACAGATGCAGACATGGGGCTGTGCTTCTGGACAGTTTTAGTCTTTTCTTTGTTAAAGTCTCCAAGCCCTGAAATTACTGCTTAGATTGTATCTGTAGTCATGAAAAAAAGCCCGAGTGCTTCAGGGAGAGCAGCAAGGAGACTGCGGGCTACCGTAGCTCTTGAGGGTGTGCCAGCCATCCCTGGAGGGTGCTGGAGAATGTGCTGATGCCTGAGGCTTGGATTGGCCCCTCAGCCATCTTTTTTTTTTTGAGACTAGAACAAAGTTTAGAAATCTGCACGTTTTAATACATGTCCCTGGTTGATCCAACAACGAAGAATACACACACCAAGGAACACCGACCTAACGTTCCCAAGGGATTCAAAATCATTTTCTGGATGCAAATATTATTTTCTCTCTTTTTTTTAAAATTTATTTTCTTTTTTCTTTATTTTAGAGACAGAGGAAGGGAGAGGGAGAGAGAGATAGAAACATCGATGAGAGAGAACATCGATTGGCCGCCTCCTGCATGCCCCCCACTTGGGATCGGGCCCACATCCTGGGCATGTGCCCTGACTAGGAATCAAACTGGCAACCTCTTGGTGCATGGGCCGACGCTCAACCACTGAGCCATACTGGTCGGGCTATTTTTTTCATTTTTAAATCCTCACCCAAGCATATTTCTCATTTATCTTCAGATAGAGTGAGAGGGGTAAGAGAGAAACATTGACTGGCTGCCCACCCCCCATGACCCCAACCAGAGCCAGGGACTGAACCCCAACTGAGGTAATGTGCCCTTGACTGGAATCGAACCCATGACTCTTCATTCTGCGGGCTGACGCTCTAACCACTGAGTCAAACAGGCTAGGGCTTGTTGTCTCTTTTGAAACATTCTAGGCTTCCAACAATAGCCAAAGTTCATGTCTGTTACAGAACCAAACAATCTCTCTGCCATCTTCTTGGAAATTTCTTGAATCTCATAGTGACAGCTTCTGGTATGTTATTTAAATTAACCCTGGTATTGCTATTAAACTTTCCAGATGGTTTTGTTTATCTACCCAAGTAGTGTTCCTAGGAGGCCAGAACTATGCTTATACATATATATTTTTAATGTTTCCAATATTATCTAGCACTCTTAATAAATATTTATTAAGCCCTCAATAAACTTATTTTAATTTTGGTTAAAATGCAACCTAAGTTGCTTTAAAATCCACATTAACTTCCGAAGCATGAAGCCGCTTCTCTCGTGGATATTGCTTCAAACCCCTTTATTCTAATAACCCTTGCACGGTAGAGAACGCAGGCCACACCTAATGTTCACTAGAAATTGGCAACTGTGCACTTGAGCTCTGTTGTTTAGCCACAAGGAAAAGGCGGTAATAGCTATGATGGATTACTTGGCAAGGGACACCGAGCCCTTGGGTGTTCCAGACTCTCTTTGGCCTATAAACCTGTTTGAAAACCTGTTTCTCAGAATTTAAAGCTTAGTTCAATTGAGGTCAGTATTATAGTAATGTCAATAATTCTCCTGCTCTCAGCTTTCGGGCAGACCAGCACAATTCATCATTAACTTTATGTTCATGGAAAGGCAACTTTTGGGAGAATAGCCCTAACTTAAGCTATTTTATTTTGATTTTTTTTCCCTTAAGAAATAGTTCTGCCAATATTACTTTCTTTGGAGTTTGTGCTTTCTAAACCTTACCACCTTCCAGTGCCTGAAATTATTCCCTAAAACCATACTGGTGTTGAATGCACGAGAGTTGGGACATCACCAGGGCAATAACTCAAGGCATTCAGAAAAAGATCAAATGAACCATTGGGTCTGAAAGTAATTTTTGGACTTGATGAAGTTGGAAAATTACATCTGCCTTTAGCTGCTTTTTCAGGGGTAAGATGTGGAGCTCTACTGTCTAGTGGGATATTCTGGCAGGGTCAATTTCTTTCTCTTGGGAGTCAAAAGCTTAATGAATAATTAACTAATGCTCATCCCCTCTGAGCAGACAGCTTCACTCTGCTCAGCTACTAAGAGCACCTGCCAAAGGAATGGACTACGTCCTCTTCCCGTATGGACTGCCATCCCTGGGTTTGGCGTTGGGCAGGTGACTCAAGGCATAAGTTGTTCCCTTATTATAGGATTTCTCTCTCTTCATTTTAGAAACTGAGGAAGGAAAATGCCTCTATATAGACATTTATTGGATCAGATCTTGTCACCAGTTTGAGGTAGAAAATGTGGTCATTCACACCCAGGATTGCACCATTCATTATTTCTCCCTAGGAATAAAAAGTATCTTTATATTGAGAAGAGTTTGCTCTTACTATACTAATTTAATAATACAACTTCAAACTCTAAGGTTTCTTTGATTTGCTAACACTGAATTAAAAACCTCATTTAGTTGTTGAGATAATGAACCAGAGCCCCTCATCACATATTATCTTTAAGAATTACCTGATCATATGGATCTCCTTATGGACAGGGTGTAAGACTTATTATTTTTGTCTTTTCAGCACCCAACCCAGACGCTGCTTCGTGCAGCACAAGCACTAAATACATTCTTGTGATTAGTGACAAATATATACTATATTTTTCCACAGCATGGGCATGAAAAATGGTTAAAGAATTGTAATAACTTAATGACCAGTAGAGGGCAATAAAGTTAGTTTTTAAAAATTCTTTAGGCCCAGTTTAAACCTACTTTCAGTCCCAGTTCTCCTCTGCAAAGACTTTCTCTGGAGTGGTCTCACTCAGTTTCCTGATCTCACTTTAATTCCGCTACCAGCCTCCTGTACTCCATCAGCACCCCCGTTTGGGCCTCTTCACTAGCATCTATAAGGAGGGTGCACCAGAGGGTCAGACTGGTTGGTGTGCATTGATTTACACACCACAGCTCTCTCTGTTTGGTTAATTCTTGGCCTAATCAAAACCATTTGACAATAGATAATCCTGGGAAATGAGAGACCACACTAGAACCACTGGGTAAGATGAGGACTAGGGCAGAAATGTTGGCATTAAGCTTCATGCAGTAGAAAACTACATATACAGTAAGATACCAGTTCCATTGAAAAGAATCACCTCCACTACATGTCCACATTTACACATACAAATAAGGTCAAACTGTGGTTATTAACACACGGTTTTGTGAGGAATTGATACATGGAATAAGAAGGGTTTTTATCCTATTCGTGTTTTCTTATATTTTTCAGATTTTTATGGTGCATAAATATTTCTTCTAGGTATAAAAGTATATTATGTAGCCCCTCCCACCAACAAATTAGGACTGAGGAGAAAGGCGTGACTAATTTTCCTGAAACAAACTTTAACAGGGCCTGACTTGCGTTTGCCAGTCTCCCCTTTGGGGTGGGGGGGAGGTGAGGGCCATCCCAGAGAGTCATGGACATGCCCCCGACTTTATTATCCATGTTCTCCAGGGCTCAGGGTGCCACGTGTTGTCTCTTATAATCCTTGATCTGTGTGGAGCGAGCAAATAACAACTTACAGGACTTTTCTTCTGCACTTCCCCGTTTGGTATTGCATTTTTCTTTTTCTACAGAGCCCCAAATTTTCTCCCATGTTATTTTTAGTCATCCTCACAGGGGGGGAATAAAGCCAATCAGGGTTTCTGGAATGGCAGCTTTTCAAAAGAGAAGGCAAAGTCAAGCTTTCCGCCAGTCCCATAAAATCTCGGATTTACGTGATACCTTTCATCTGCATCCAGTTAAAATGCTCCCTGCTAGGCCACGGAGGGCACACGGAAATCATCATTTGAAAAGGCCTTACTTTAAGGACTGGATGCAGAGGCTCAAATGTTGCTTCAGCTCCTCCTCCTTTTCATAGGACTCCAGTACACTGTGCGCTTTGTCGTGGTGATAGCAGTAGGTTTTATAAATATCTTCCAGTGGCCCTTTCATCTGCAAGAATACTTCTCCTGATACATGTAAAACAAAAGCAAAATGATACCAAGTTAGACCCACATGTTCATTATTCAGCCATGTCCACTAGTGTTCAAAGTTGCATGAGTCCCACTTTGCCCCCGGGTTGTATTCAGAAGGGGTGGAAGATATTCCATGACCTTTCCCTCCTTTTCTTTCCCTTCTTTTCTCTCTCTTTTTTCTCTCCCTCTTTTTTTCTTTCCCTTCCTTTCTTTTATAAAACAAAGCATAAAGAGCTTAATGGAGACCGGAGGCCGGTGAAAGCTGGTTTTCCCAGCGGTGACTGTGCCCTTGGCCGTGTACAGGGGCCTGGCTAAGGGCCGCCATCTAACATCGGTCTGTGTGGGTTTGGGTCAGGCTGTGTTACAGACTTAGACAGGGATGACTTGAACAATGTAATTGTACCCTCTGAACCTATTTCCTGTCCTGTAAAATGGGAGCAATAATAGGTCCAACTTCATCGGGTCATTATTAAAATTAAAGACACAGTGCATGTGAAGTGCAGAGTATAGTATGTACGTTCTAACTACTCAAAATGGAGCAGTTACTGTTAATTTATTAAAAGTATGGGAAGTAAAATTTTAGATGATAGGTAAATTATATTTTTATATTTATTTCACTAACATTTCCTGAGGTTCTCAGAAAGGCAAGCAATGGAATTTAAAGAAAGAAAATATTTCCTTATATGTGATAATAAAAAGGATTGGCCATTATTTTTGATAAATAATGGACATAATAAATCAGATAATACTATGAACAAGGGTTATGACTATTTTTTTTTTCATAAAGCTACTTGGGTTCATTGTGTCCAGGCATGTAAAAAATTATTTTGATATTATGATAGAATTGGGTCTATAACTGATGGCTCAGATAGCTATTGAACCAATGGTTTGATTCAATCACTCACTCCTTCACTTAAAAGTGCATATTGAGCACCCAGTACCCTACCCCACACCATGTTAAGATGATTTGGGATACACACACACAAAATGTGATCGGGTCTGCTCTCAAAAGCATTACGGATTTGGACTTGATAATGATTTGGGCTGAACTGATTGGGAGTGGTGTGGATTTACTAATCTTGACCTATTATAGTAATAACAATAAGTCCTTCTTCCTTCAGAAATAGAAGTGCTTTTTGGATTTTCAACATGTTTTGGACATATTAACTGTTCAACTCCCTCTATATATGAGGAGATAAGAGCTTATTTATCCTTACAAAATAAGAATAGACAAATATGAGTTTAAAAGAAATAAATGATTTTTCCAAAGTTCTAGAGACAGGAACCTAAGTTCCTGGTCCAGTTCTGCTATGATTGGTGTTAGTGGAAGAATTCGTGTTGATATTAGGATTATAGGTGGCAGATGATTTATTCATGTTGTGTTCTCACATTGTCCCCTGATCTTCATGTTTGTTGTTGGCAAAGCTGGGATTAGAGACCATATTCTTCTCATTTTTTTCTTAGGCTTTGTCCCTCCACTCAGCCGAGCTCTGCTGGACACTGTACAAAGGGATGCGGCTGGAAAGGATCCGAAACCACTGTCATGTAGCGTTTGTGTGGTGACTCTGGGAGCAACTTAAAAAAAAATTATTTCAGCTTCTGTTCTATCATTTGTAAAATGGAAATAAGTAATAGTAACTCTGGAGATGGATTTGAGAATTAAATGGGATGTGGATGTAAAAAGTGTCCGGCACTGATGAGTTGCTCAATGAATGTCACTTGTCCCTTAATGATGCTCTACTGTCTCTAGAATTAAAACACCAGTATTTTCCTAATTTATATCCAGCCAATAAAGGTTTTTCTTTCCTTTTCATTATATTATATTTTCCCTGTGATTGTAGTTAGATTCTGTGTGTGTGTGTGTGTGTGTGTGTGTGTCAGTGGTTTTGGACTTGTTCAGAAACTCAGCATTGCTGAGAATCTTTGGAACTGAAATGAAGAGGAATTCTTGTTTTGTTCTTGGGATTGTACTGAGTTGATCCTTCTAACAGTGTAGGTCTTAGAGAATTTCTCTGCAAGACAGCAACATAAATAGTAAGAAATAAAGTAGTTATACATCCTGGCTGGTTTGGCTCAGTGGTTGGAGAGTTGGCCTGTGGACCGAGGAGTCATGGGCTTGATTCCTGGTCGAAGGCATGTACCTGGGTTGCAGATTTGATCCCTGGTCCCAGTTGGGGTCATGTGGGAGGCAACCAATCAGTGTGTCTCTCACACATCAATGTTTCCTCTCCCTCCCTCCCTCCCTCCCATTCTGTCTAAAAAAAAAAAAAAAATCAATGGAAAAAATATATCCTCAGAGGATAAATTAAAAGAAAGAAAGAAAGAAAGAAAGAAAGAAAGAAAGAAAGAAAGAAAGGAAGGAAGGAAGGAAGGAAGGAAGGAAGAGAGTAGTTATAAGAAGAGAAAATAAAATATGACTCTGACTAAACTTAGGGTTAGGCATAAGATGAGGAGAGGTCCCCAGTGACAGAACCAGGTGGCAGCTGGGTGTGAGGACTTTGGGTGGGTGAGGGAATTAAGGCCCAAAAGTGGGAGTGAGCACCAGGCCGAGAGGGGGCACAGGAGCAAGTCAAGGAGAGAGGATCTGAATTCACACAGCCCAGCACCAGATGAAGCTGTAAATATATATGTTGACGACACAGGTTAGAGACAAAGAAACAACGAGGTAAGGATGCTCTCATAAATCCACCATAGGGTCCAGTCAGAAACTCAAAAAGCAAAGGACCAAGACATTTATTTAATACACAATGAACTTATTAATTGTAAAGTCCTCTGCATTTTCTTTATCAGAAGTGGTCTAGTTTGAAAGAATTTGTATCTCTTCTTAACAGCAGAGTCCAAATTTTAACTCTTTTCCAAGTAAAATTCTGTGGGGGTTCAAATAATAATTATTAAAGTTAAAAGGTATTTAAGTACTCTAATTGAAAGGCATTTATTCAGCCAAAGGCCAAGTACAACAGTGGCAGGCAGAATATTTGATTTTGCTCCCAGCCCTACCAATGCATTCTGCTTCCTAACAGTGCAGATGAAGCGATGTGTCTCGCAGCAAAAAAAAAAAAAAAAAAAAAAAAGATTCTGTTTCCACGGTAACATAACTCTCGGCTGCGTTTCTTTAGTGGTGAAGGACAACTGCTCTATCTAAAGGATGTGGGTTTGAAGGGATGATTAGAAGTGACGAAGGGACTGAGCCAAGACCAGTGGAGGTAATTTCACTTCTGGCTGCCTGTCACAAAGGCACCAGCATCTTATAAAATAAATATAACTATCGTGTGCTTCGTTTTAGAAGTGCTACAACCTGACTTTCTGCACTAGGGGACATGCAAAATGAGAAAAAATAAGAATGTGCCCTTTTAAATCTCCTTAGTTTTCTCCTTCAAAAACAAGTCCCAAGAATATTGAACACATTTGATGTCCTGGTGTCATTGCTTCTGTGTTGCCAGATGCTCCCTTCATGAGTGTAGATATATTTATGTTCCTCTTGTTGGCCCCTTTTCTTTGCTTCCAGACCCTCATGTCCAGGCCCAAGATGAGCCAGAACCAACAGTGAGGCCTCTGAGTTATTGTGACCCCAATCCATGATGAACATCCTGTGTAGGTAAGGAAACCGAGGTAAACCAATGATATTCAAGCGATCTCCTCATCTTAAGCTTTGTTTAGGAAAACGGCATCCAAAGGCATGAAGTAGTTGAAATCTTTACTTTATCCTTACTTGGCAACCACTTAATGAGTGATTATGCACCAAGCACTTTGGTAGCTCCCACAGACACAAAGATCCAGCATTTCCCTCAAGGGACTTGGGAAGGGAGCAAGAAGAGCAAACTCCTTTGCCACACTATGTGGAAAGTGTGTCAGTAGAGCTATGAAACACAGAGGGTCACCTATTCTGTTCTTGAGGACCTGGAGCTATTTCCATGACAGCCTGCCCTTGAAGTAGGAGGTAGGATGGCGGGCAAAAGCACAGAGACACTGAGGGAGCGAGACCTGTTCAGGGACTGCAAGCGGGCTCGTCCGGCTGCTGCTGCCTCGTCCGTGGGAAGTTTCAGAAGAGGCTGTGTGGGTTAGCAGATCCTGAAGGACCTTGTGTGTCAGGAAGGAGTTGGCACTCACAGCCTGAAGCGGATGGAGAAACACTGATGGATTTTAGGCAGCAGACTAACCTGATGGGGCTGTGTTTCAGAAGGATTATTCTGGGACCTCAGTCATAGGAAAGATGGACTTTGGAGAAAGAGTTCGTGAGACTGAAAATGTGAAACCAGGTGAAAGTCTTCCGTAATAATACGAGTGAGGGCTAAAACAGGAAGTTAAAGCAGTTAAGAGAGAGAGAAAGTGCTCGAATATCAACTGCTGGGGTTCAAATCCTGGTCTTATGGTTTACTCCTGTGACATTTGGGAAACTGACTTGACTTTTCTTTCTCCATTTTCTCATCTGTGCTTTGGCATAATAGCAATAGTAGGGTTGTTTGAAGATTAAATGACTTAAACTATGTAATGTGTTTGTATCAGCAGCTGGCGTGTGCAAATGCTCAATAGATGTTATGACCGCTAACACAAAAGCAGGGAGGATGGAGAAGAGGGAAGGAAAATGGACACGAAGCGTATGTCAGAGATGAAGAGGGTAATTCCAAGTGTATCTCAGGATGCTGGTGTCAGTGCCCACATGGATGAGCAATGATGACAAGCGAGTTTAGGTGGCCAGATAATGAGTTTAGTTTTAGACGTACTGAGTTTGAGTCACCCATATTATATTCAAGTGGAGACATCCTTATGGAATTGTATACATGAGTCTGGGATTCGGGGAAAAAAGATCTGGGAAAGAGATAGAAAACTTGGGTAGCAGAAGCCATGAATTGGATCCAGTCACGCGAGGCAGTTCACAGGGCGAGACGAGAATACTGGGGAACGCTCACACAGAGCAGAGAGAACGAGTCTGCGGGAGTGCTGAGCAGGACAGCCAGAGAGACTAGAAGACACCGAGAATCGGTGTCGGCAAAGCC